GCACCCTCAGGCTTCTCTGTCCACCAGGGATGTCTCTGTTTTCTCCTTCATCTTGGTGGCTCCAGCTTGTGTCTCCTTTCTCAGGGTCATCTCACTCTATAAACTGCAGTTATCAACTACAAACGGGCAGTGAGTTTAAACCAAAGGCCCAAAGGAATGTGTGAGGAGAACAACAACCTAAAGTAACTATCCTATTTACGTAGAGGGAAGGAGGAGGCGAAAGGAAAAATAGAGAATTAATCACTGTGGTTAATATCTACTCTAATCATAACTATTAGTTTGTTATATTTCTACAATTTTCTGGCAAAAAGGCTTCTCTGGCCCTTCAACAAGGTCAAGAGAGGGATTTTGTGCATGTGTGTGTGGTGTGTGGTAGTAATAAGGAGTGTTTGTATGGCAGTGATCCAGAAAAGAAAGAAATGTGAGCAGGAGAAAAGGGCTGGAATTAAGTGCTTCTGTAGGCAAGAGTAGGCCTGAGCTCTAATTCACAAGAGAACGGGTTGTCTTTAGATGGGAATGTGAACATTCTTCTATAAACTTTGGAGGGAAGGCAGTACGTGGGTACAGATGTTGTCATGCAGTAGATATGATAGTGTCACATTTTGGAAATTCTCATCTGATTGCTTTTATCTTCTCAGCAAAATAGGAAGTTAGGTAAACAGCTCAAAGTGAAAATGAAGAAGGCATTGGAGGCTTGTGGAGAAAGTGTGAAATAGTTACCCAAAAGTTTGGAAGAATGAACATGCTAAGGAAATATGATTGCTAGGCAGAGTTCACTGTGAAGTTCGTAATCATAAATTTGAAGTAGGTATTATTGATGCTTTGCCCAGTTCCTCTTGGATACTTTTTAACTGTTTCTTGCTCACACTAGCTTTGGTGACTTTTGCTTCTGTCTTAGTTATCCAGTGCTAATACAATAGAAATAACAAAAGTGAGTGGCTTGAACAAACAGAAATTTATTTCTTGTAGTTTAGGAAGCTAGATGTCTGAATTCAGGGTGCCTGCTTTAGGGGAAGGCTTTCTTTCTGTGTAGATTCTTAAGGGAGGTCCTTGTTTCTTTTCAGTTTCTGCTCCTCAGTGATCTTCATGTGGCTTGGCATCTCTCTCACCATCGCTGCTTACTTTCCTGTCCCAATCTACTCAGAGAGACGGCAGAGAAATAGCAGCAGCAGAGGCAGCAGAACCAAGAAACTGGTACAAGACAGAGCAGTGGTCTTCCCAGATCACGAGAAAGCTGAGTGCCTTCAGACAGGAGGCTTGCTGGTGTAGTAGGCTGTTCTCTGGGCACTGCACATTTAAAAGAACTTTGTAACACTTGCCCAAGCAAGGCAGAGGCCAGGCCAAGGGCCAAAGGCCAGAGACCTGCCTTCGGGCATGGCTGAAGGGAGGCTGTCTTGACTGAAGAACTATATATCCTGAGCATTCCTGATCCTGAATTGTAACCTGTTACTTTCATAACAAATAATCATGAGTGTTGTCTGTATAGCCATTGAAACAAATTATTGGACCCAGCAGAGAAGTAGAGAGTGCTATAGGAGGAACGGATAGTTAGGGTCAGAACTGGTAAAAAGTTTGGAGGCTGCAGCCTATATGGCCATGAGACCAGAAGAACTAGATGGTATCTGGCTACCACTGTCAACCACTCAGAGAGGGATTGGTGCAGGAGATCCTGGTTAGAGTGGGAGAACAATGTGGAACAAACTCAAAATCATAAAAAAAAAAAAAAGACTGGGTTTGCTGTTCTGATAGAGCCTGGTGAGACCTCTGAGACTATGGCCCCTAGTTACCCTACTTCAGGTCTGGAACTGAACTCACTCCAGTGGCTTCCAGCCAAACAATAGGCTGGCATATGGGATAAACATTTACATCAGGTAGATAACTCCTTGGAGCAATCAATCATGGGAGAACAGAAGGGCAGTGTTTACAGGGAGATAGCTCAGAGGGGTGGGAGTGCATGGGAGGGAAGGACACAGGGAAGAGGTAACTATGGGGAGGAAGTGGTAAGAGAGCTGTTACATTTTGGGGAATTGTAGTCAATGTCATGAAACAAAATGTGTATGAACTGCTGTTTGGAACATGAATTTGCTCTGTAAACTTTCACACAAATCACAATAAAAATCAAAAAAAAAAAAGTTTAGAGGGTGGTGGCATGTCTGACCTCTGCCTCACAGGAATCAGCTTTGGGCTGAACTGCTGATGGTGATTCTGTCTCCTTTGTGTGATGTTAGAGGAGGTCAGAGGACCCACCCCCACACCATTTTTGAATGTTCTTTTTATATTTCAAAGGTGATTGGCTTAAAACACACTGATACTGATGGGGGCTCTTAACAAAGAAAACCCATTCCCAAATGGGTTTAAAGCCCAGGTATAGGGGTTAGTGTATACAACACACATTTTGGAGGGACACAATTCAATCCCAAACAGCTTCTGACAGCACCTCTGGCTCCTTTTGGGAGCCCTGCCCTCTGGCTCCAGGAGCCTCCTTTGCCCTGAATGTTCCAGTGTCTTGGACGGCCTTACCGGTGACTGTTGGGTACAGGAGTATGAAATCCTCAACATCCTTGCTTTGGTGATGTGACAACTCTCAAGTATAACTTATACTCCAGACTTCTCCTGTGTGGTGGTGATGTTGTTAGGTGCCATCAAGTCGGCTCCGATTCGTAGTGACCCTATGTACAACAGAAGGAAACAATGCCTAGTCCTGCACAATCCTCACTATCTTTGCTGTGCTTGAGATTATCATTGCAGCCACAATGTCAGTCCACCTCATGGAGGGTCTTCCCCTTTTTCACTGACCCTCTACTTTACCAAGCATGATATCCTTCTCCAGGGACTGGTCCCTTCTAATGACATGACCAAAGAACATGAGATGATATCTGGCCATTCTCACTTCTAAGGAGCATTCTTCCAAGACAGGTTTGTTCTTTCTTCTAGCAGTCCATGATATTTTCAGTATTCTTTGCCAACACAATTCAAATGCATCAGTTTTTCCATCTTCTTATTCATTGTCTAGCTTTCACAAGCATATGAGGCTATTGAAAATACCATAGCTTGAGTCAAGCGCACCTTAGTCTTCAAAGTGACCTTTTTGCTCTTTAATTCTTTAAAGAGGTCTTTTGCAGCAGATTTGCCCAGTGCAGTAAGACGTCTGATTTCCTTACTGCTGCTTCCATGAGTGTTGATTATGGATCTGAGTAAAATGAAATCCCTGATAATGTCAATATTTTCTCCATTTATCATGATGTTGCTAATTGGTCCAGTTGTGAGAATTTTTGTTTTCTTTATGTTGAGGTATAATCCATACTGAAGGTTGTAGACTTTGATCTTCATCAATAAGTGCTTCAAAACCCAAACCAAACCAAATTCACTGCTGTCAAGTCGGATCCAACTCATAGCGATCCCTCCTTCAGTTTCTAAGGCTGTACCACTATGGAAGTAGATTGCCCAACCTTCCTTCTGAGGAGTGGCTGGTGCATTTGAACCGTCAGCCTTCTGGTTAGCAGTCAAATGCCTTAGGCAGTATGCCCCCAGTGCTCCTAAGTACTTCAAGTCATCTTTACTTTCAGCAAGCAAGGTTGTCTCATCTGAATATTGCAGGTTGTTAATGAGTCTTCCTCCAATCCTGATGCTGCATTCTTCTTCATATAGTTCAGTTTCTCGGATTATTTGCTCAGCATGCCAATGGAGTAAGTATGGTGAAAGGATACAACTCTGACATGATATACACTTTTCCTGATTTTAAACAACAAAGGCAGGAAGATGGTATTTTCCTGATTTTAAACCCTTCAGTATCCCCTTGTTCTGTTTGAATGGCTGTCTCTTGGTCTTTGTACAGGTTCCTCATGAGCACAATAAAGTGTTTTGTAATTCCCATTATTTGCAATGTTCTCCATAATTTGTTATGATCCACACAGTCAAATGCCTTTGCACAGGCAATGAAAGTATTCTCCTGTGTCGTGGGTTAAATAGTGCCCCCACCCCCACAAAAAAAATATATGTCCACCAGGAATTTTAGATCTCTTAACTTTGCTGTCATGTTTTTCATCTTTTTGCTTCTTTTGCTCTGTGTTTTGGAGAACTACGTCACATGATATTATAGCTCACTATTTTGATCTTCAGCTCTGTACATTCTGCTCTTTAACTCATCTCTTAATTTGAGGCTGGGAAAAATTATTTTTGTTCCCCCGCCCCAAACTCTGATTGTCATTTTAGTAGCTTATGTTTTATTTTATTTATGGGTAAAGTTCCCCTTTATATATCTCAGGGAATATTAATTATGTTCATGTCAAAAATTCATTTACTTTCCCCTATTAATCTGTTATCTCAGGGATTGATTTTTCTGTTTATTTAGTTGAGGGCCTTTCTTTCATGCTGTTGGATTCTTCAAAAGTTGTTTATACTGGAAGTAAGGATCTAGATTGAGTAGTTTTGGTAGCTAGAATGTATTTTCTTAGTCCTTGTGAAAATTAACTGTCCACCAAGTGGGGGAAGCTAGTGTCCTGATGGCTGCATTTTCTTGGTCCACATATGTACTTTGGCACTTTGATCATCCCGTTGTAGGGAGCTATACTTGGGTGATAGCCTTGACCACACAAATGAGGATTATCTGCTCCAAGGGCAGATGAGGGGACACTAACCCAGCCTTTCTGGCATCCTTTAATTAATTTTCTGACTGATTACCCAAAGTATCATCTTCCTGCCTTTGTTGCATTGAATATAGGCTTTATTCTAGGAGTACTTCTGGTAAAACTCATGTTTTTTAGCGTATGGGGTCCTCTCTTCTACCTATTGGTTTATAGATTCCCCAGCTGCCAACATGTTGCCGTCTGCTTTATTATCATTCAGAAACTCCTGTTGTGGGCTGCTAGTAGCATCCTTCTTGACTTTTCAGCATTGAGATAGATTTGTTTTTATTTCCTGTTTCTTCTGACATTTCAGTAGAATTTGGGGAAGGAGGAAAATATATCTTTGTAATTGACCCGTTCTCTACTCTTACCTAGATTAGGACAATCCAATCCAACCTTTTATCTCCAGAAGGGCATTCAAGCATATGTACTCAGGAAAAAACCACCAGGTTCACTTCTTCCTAAAGCACACAAGGTATGGTATACAGATGCAATGATAAATGTTTTGGTGTCAAACAAATTGTTTTATGCATACAAGAACAATCAAATTGCTTTAAAAAGACAACTCATGGTTATTGAGTAATAGAAAATGTATTTTATTTCTTAGACTGAAATTTTACTTGAATTGTGTCCTTTCCCATTGTTAAAAAGGACTTGAGTTTGAAATCTCCAGGCTGTTAAGCTTGAGCATTACCCAGTCCTCTTGTGGGTTTGATTCCTCCCTGTACAATTGGCCAGAAATACAGCCAAAATGCTCCTTAAGGGTTCCGGCAAGATGGTGAACTAGGCAGGATTGCACAGACCCTCTTCAACAAGGAAAAGGGAAACCCAATTAACACAGACACAGAAGATAATCGTGGACCCCTGAGCCTTGAAGGGAAGGATACAGAATTGGACTGAACCCCAAGTAGCAGAAGAATTTGCGTGAAAATACTAAAAAAAGGAGACATACGGAGCTGCGGTCTGACAGCGAACAGAGTGACCCTGACAGTACAGGCGGCTCGGAGATTCCCGACTGGTGGTAGGACCTAAGAATTA